CAGGACTCTACACTTGTCCTTGTTGAACCTCATCAGATTTCTTTTGGCCCAATCCTCTAATCCAGGGGTTCCCAACCTTTTTCTCCCTCCAAGAAAAGACTCTTTCTTCACTTTCTGTAAGTAGGGTAAAGTTTAGATAAATCCGTCAGGCTTCATTGTTTTATGGTTTGGGTATGGGATCTGCTGTCTGTGCACTTTTTAAAAGATGTTTTGGCTTTTCTTTGTAACTAAGTTCTAGGCCCATGGAGTTTCTCCACGAGTGTATTATTGGTTACTTTTCCATCTAGCCATTATGCTTGCAACAGGAAGATTGTGGTGATAATAAAAGTTTTCTCTTTTCTTTTTATTAACCCGATGCTGTACTTGTGTCCTGGGGTTTTTACTTTAGGGGTGAGATTTCCCCAAATGGTTTCTCCCCTGGTTTCTTTATTAATTTGGGCGGTGGCAGCGGAAGTTTTATTCCCAAAATCTAGGGTTTTAAGATTTTGGGGGGAAGGTTTATACCAAAGCCTGGTAGATAAGGTTTTGGGGTAATTGCTGGCCCCCACTTCTGCATTTATCATGCCAGAGTGGGGAAGGAGCCATGACAGGGGCCAAAAGTGGGCGGGGCTTAGGAGAGCCCCTCCCCTTGTTTGTTTCCCAGTCTGGCTCCTGAAGGTACCTCAGTCCCTAGACCCCAGGGGACTGCCCCTATGTAGCCTCAAAGGCCCTGCCGCTTACCTGTTCCACCCGCAGCCCCGTGCCATGCTACACTCACCCACTCCTCCACGTTGGGACCTTCCTGGTAGGCAGGTGGCTTGTCCCAGTAGATATTGGGCTTCCCATACTTCCAGATCTTGTGGCGCGTCTTGTGAGCAAAGAAGCAAATGACGCAGAGGAGAATAACGATGAAGAACCCACAGACGATGGCGATGGCCTAGAAAAGAAGGAGAAAAAAATCCCACGCTAGCCTGGGAAATCAACTTTATGCCATCCAAACCGGCACCCTCCACCACTGGCCTCTACCACTCAGGCTAAAGGAAGAACTGCATTAGCTGCTAGCAGCAGTAGGTTGTTGTCCTCTTTGTGGTTTAGCCACTTGAAGGAGATGAAACACACAGCCCCTGCCAGTACAGCTGGGGAAGGATGAAAACAAAAAATCAAATGAGAGGGCAAATAATTGTTATGCCAAACAAAAAAAGTCCAACCAAGGAGGAGAGATGGATGAGGCATTTCCTGGGACCTAGGGGGAGGAAGAGAAGAAAAGGCAGCTTCTTGCTGTTATCTTATTCTGAACAGAAACGTTTTGCAAAACAATCGAGCCTCCAACGCATGGTGGGGTATCGGGACTGGGCCTTGCTTAAGCACCAAAATGAAACAAAGGGATCCCAGTGCACTTTGCAATCTCCAGGCAGACAATGGCCTCCACAGCTTGGGAAACTGAGGCACGCGGCGAGTGAGGAACCGACTTTCCACGGAACCAGGAAAAGAGCCCAGCAGCCCTCCCCGGCTGGTGTGTGGAAACAACCGACAATCTTCCCCTAAGGACACGGGGCCGAGAGCAGCAGATGTGATCCTCTGGACGATTTTTGCGAAGGGCGTCACCCCCGCGCATTTTGGTGTGTGCTGCGCGAGGGCGAGTCCCCAGAATCATAGAACCACAGAGCTGGAAGAGACCTCAGGAGTCATCAAGTCCAGCCCCCTGCCCGAGGCAGGACCAATCCCAACTAAATCAACCCAGCCAGGGCTTGTTCAAGCCGAGACTTAAACACCCCGATGGGTGGAGATTCCACCCCCTCCCTAGGGAACCCATCTCAGCGCTTCCCCACCCCCCTAGGGAAATTGTTTTTCCTAATATCCAACCTAGACCTCCCCCACTGTAACTTGAGCCCATTGCTCCTTGTTCTGCCACCTGCTCCCACTGAGAACAGCCCCTCGCTAGCCTCTTTTGAAACCCCCTTCAGGAAATTGAAGGCTGCTCTCAAATCCCCCCTCACTCTTTTTGTCTTCAGCCTAGATCATATGCTCCAGCCCCCTAATCATTTTGATCACCCTCCACTGGACCCTCTCCAATGCGTCCCCATCCTTTCTATTGTGGGGGGCCCAGAACTGGACACAACTGGGTTTGGGTGCATCTGGCCCATGCTCTAGCTCCGTGCCTGCGTCTGGGCGGGCATACCCAGCTAAGTGCCTGGCTCCACATGGCTCCAGATTTCAGGTGGCCGGATCGCAGCAGGCTGAGCTAATCTTATCCCAGAGACGGGGTGGGATCGGGAGCCCCACCCAGTTTGCGGCTTAACCCGCTGCAATTGTTTCTGCCTTAACCGAAACTGGCTTTGTGGTGCCCTTGTTTGGGAATATTCTGCTGCCTTCTACCCGACAGACAGCCCAGGGCGCTGACTGGGCGGCTGCAGCCAGAGATCCTTGTTAGCCGCCCAAGGAAACTGACCAAGCCCAGCAGAGACTTTGAAAAAGCTCTTTTGCTCTGGGTTACAGCCTGGGGGCTTGACTTGGGCAAAGCAGGTGAGGGATGGGCTTGGGGCGGGGTTGGGGGGGGTGGAGTAGGGTTGGAAAGCTCCAGGCTGGGACTCAGGAGACCGGAATTTATTTCTGAGTGGGGAGAGGCGCAGCTTGGCATAGAAGCAGTAAGGCCTAGTGGTTAGGACATCAGCCTAGGACTTGGAAGGCCTGGCTTCAGCTCCGGCTAATCTCTAGCCCCATCCCCCGCTTCCGCCAAAGGCCTCAGCCTTTCTGAGGGACTGGAGCTCTCCCCCTCACACACTTTGCCCAGGAGTCCGGAAAGTCTCTCCTCAGCCCCGTCCGGGTGTGTCGCCAGAGGATGTGGTGAAGACTAGGACTTTAACAGGGTTAAAAAAAGAGCGAGATAGATTCACGGCGGTTAGGTCCATCAATGGCTATTAGCCAGGATGGATAGGAATGGTGTCCCTATCAGTAGCCTCTGTTTCTCTGGAGGTGGGTGACAGGGGAGGGATCACGTGAGGATTACCTGTTGTGTCCCCTCCCTCTGGGGCATCTGGTATTGGCCACTGCCGGCAAACAGGACACTGGGTTGGATGGACCATTGGTCTGATCCAGTATGGCCGTTGTTTTGTTCTTATCATGTTGGCCAAGTCATTCAGCTGTGCCATGCCTCAGTTTCCCCTCCATACAATACTGATGACAGCCAGGCCTTGCCTCCCATGAGCGTGAGTGAGGATAAATCTATTAAACACTGGCAGGTGCTCAAAGATGATGATAATGCGGGCTGTACAAGTCTTTATGAGGCTCCTGACCCCTTCCTTGCATCTGCTGTGCCTCAGTTTCCCCACTTGTGAAATGGCCTTCCTTTGTTTATTCAGATGGTGAGCTTTTTGGGACAGAGCCTGTCACTCATCGTGTGTCTGTGCAGCACCTGGCACACAGAGTCCCTGATGTCAGCTGGGGTGTGTAGGTGCTAGGGGGCTTTAAACTGTACGACTTGTAGCACCAGGACCGATCAAGGAGGGGAGCGGGGTGCAGAGCTCTGAGCTGGTCGAACAGAGCACTCAGAGAATCCCTGAAAATGGGGAGCGCTGGAAAAGAGCCAGGGGTTGTCTGGTCCGGGGTGTCCAAACTTCCCCATAATGGGAACCATAGCTTAACAGAGGGACTGTCTTGTGGGCTGCCTTCACCTCCCATTCCCCCATCCCATACCCCTCCTCCATTCTCCCCCTCCCATCCCCTGTCCCTTTCATGAACCTACAACACTACCCCTTCCCCCCGCACTAATGCAATTGCATAACCACATGCTCTTCCTTCCACTGCAAAAACCAGGACGCATGAGTCAACACCATGTGGGCAGCCAGCTCCCGCCTGGGCCAGTGGCTGGCTTGCCAACCTCGGACAGCCCGTCCACCTGCCAACGCAGGATTTTTCTAAAACGTTCTCCAAGCTGGATTTCAAAATCCCAACTCTTTGGGTCTCCATCATCGCCCTGCGAGGTTGCCCAGTGGTTTCATCCACCGGGAAGCCC